AACAGCACTGTCCCTGTCTGCAACGTAGGTGGTTATGGGGACCCAGAACAAGTAGAGGACAAACCCAGTGGGGACTTGGGGCTCAGAGGCATATGCCAATATATTCTATGAGGAACTAGAGTCCACTAGAGGACTGCAAACCAGATATCAGAAATAGTTGACATGGAAGAAGAGCATAAAGTGACCCTCTTGGTGAGTACAAAGGTTACCAAAATTGTCTTATTATCCTTATAGGACTGCAGAAGAATTTGGGGATCTGGGTGTATGCAGTAAGCATATAGTATACATCAATAGTCATTTACCCATACCCATCACAATGGATGGATGGATGAATAAGAATTAGCACTGCCACTAGCTTGCATTTGCACGTTTCAAGTAAAACAAAAAAGTACAAAACCTTCTGAACAAAAGAAAAAAATACAAAGATTATTGTAATATTTAAAGTATAATATAGTCAACTTGTACTTATACAATAATATTTAAATTGAAATCATTTGAAGTTTTTGAATGGGAAGATTCACAAAGTCCATGCAAAGGCCCAGACTGAACAGAATCCCACAATGTAGTTAACTTGTCTCAACTGCATTATGAAGACACCATAAGATTTCCTAAAAAGTTGAAAGACAATGGTTGAAATGTTTGCAGTTGTTCGTAGTGTCCCATCTGGTTTGTACATACAGTATGAAACATCTAAAGGGTAAGCTGAAGTTTAGTCATGTTCCTGTTGTGCATATTATGATGACGGACCAATTCATCAGATCGGGCAAATTTTTTTTGACAGCTGGGCCATCGGCAACTGAAAGGCTTTTCACCTGTCAACAAAACACACAGTTATTAAACTAGGATAGGAGTAAACTGAGTAAACTGAAACATCATATTATAGGTCCCTCTCTCCCTTAGTGATCTTATTAATTATGTGGTGCTATTGAGGTCCAGTTGGCTTGGACTCAATGAATTTTCCTCAGGCTTTCCTAAACAATTTTGGAGGGGGGGGTATTTTCCAAGGGTTTTTTAAAAACGAAGTTTGGCAAAAAAATAAATAAGGGACGCAAGCCCCTCCTTCCCTCTCAGTTCTTTCTCCTGCCAAGGAAATAAACTCGTCATTGAGAAGAGAGGGGGCATATTTAGGGACGTGATTTCCTCCTAGGGATTATTGGATTTGTACTTTTGTTCACCTCCCAAATATAATCAGGAGGAAGAGGAAATTACAGTCACAAACTCACTGGTCATCTTTTCACATCCAGAGCTGACTTTTCTTAGTGAGTCCTCCCTGCTTAACTGCCTCCCACTGTTAAGGGTGATTTCCCCCCCCCCTTTGGAAAGTGGAGCACTGGGACTGCCTAGAAACCAGGGTTCCCAGTATCTAGGTGGTGGCTGGAGCTTTCCTAGGATTACAACTGATCTCCAGGTAACAGAGATCACCTGGAGAAAATGGCCACTTTGGAAGGTGGACTCTATGGCATTATATCTCATTGAAGCCCCTTACCTCTCCAAACACTACCTTCCTCAGGCTCCACCCCCAAAATCTCCAGGTATTTCCCAACCAAGAGTTGGCAACCGTACTAGCAACAGCACTGAGAGCCAAAGCGGGCTCAGATTCAGACAGGTCTGTGCTGGGCTTACAGTAGAGTGAACCTTTTTGATGTGAGAAAGCTCATAGTCTAACTCCTACAATTCTGAGCTCACATAAGTCAAACCAGCTAGAGCATGTAGCTAAAGTCTGAGTACTCTTTCATTCACCAGTGCTGGAGTCCTGTCTGGTACAAACTCAGCTGGGTTGGGTTGCTGAGCATGCCACTGAAAGCCAGCTGGGCTCCTTCAAGCTGGCTCACTCCTAAGTAGTCTTTATCAAGGACACATCCTGCTACAACCTGGCAGACAACTTCCCCAGCTTCAAGGCTTGCAGTGCACCCTTGTTGGGGTTGCAGTCCCTGGGGCAAGTGTGGCGGTGGTGGCACCAACCCTGGACAGTATGTATCATGCTTCTCCCATATTCTGCCTCAAAAGAGCTAAGGGTGATTTACTTGTGGCTCCCGACAGGCCTCCCACCATCAAACTGGTGTTCAGTATTAGACCCTCAGCAGAGGTTCCCCTTTCTATTGGGACTGCAGCACAGGACCCTACCAGGGCCATTTCCCCCTCACCCTCTCATCCATAGCTTTAGCAGAAGAATCCTCCTCACATTAAAACAGGTTAATTTAGGGATGGGCAACTTCCAAACTAAAACTAAACTAGTTCATGGGCTTATCCTTGAGTAACTCTGCATATGATTACACTGCAAGTCCCCCTTTCACATGAGGACAAACAGTTATATTTTCCATCATCATAGTTATTATTACCATTTGCATATTCTGCCTCAAAAGAGCTCAGGGTGATTTACTTATGGCTCCTGACAGGTCTCCCACCATAAAACTGGTGTTCAGTATTAGACCCACAGCAGGAGCCTGCTCCATCACTCCCATTTCTATTGGGACTGCAGCACAGGACCCTACCAGAGCCATTTACTTGTAGGGTTACACTGCAAGTCCCCCTTTCACATGAGGACAAACAGTTATATTTTCCATAATCATTACCATTTGCAAAAGTCTAACCACTTTCAGCAGTTAGCTCCATACTATGATGAAATCACAACCTTGGAAAGAGACAGGACACCCAACCTCCAGGGGCACAGTAACAAGAACAGCAAAACAGTCTGTGTTTTTTTTAAAGGAAAAGAAAGAGAGGAAAAAACCCAGACAATATCACTGTCTTATCACCACCATCTAGCATGTTGGACTGGATATTACCCTACGGGGCTGACGTAGGGCTAGTATGAATATATCACTGAAGGAAAATATTTTTATCATCTAGAGGGACTCTAAATATTTTGATAATCTTGAATGCCTTTTGTTGGAACTTTATACCCTCACTAGGTGATGGTGGTGAGAACTCAGTCCCTCTTAGTCCAAGTAATACATTTGCATCACGAAAAATATTAATGACATTTTTAAAGATCAAGTAAAAGGTAAATGTGCTAATGTCCTCCTGAACATGCTGTAAGAATTGGTTAATCACAACAAAATCAGTTTAGGTAAAGTAAATCCAAAAAATATAAATTGGAAAAAAAGTATACGCACTTGTTTTACCTGTATGAGTCCTGGTGTGAGTCTTCAGGTGATCAGATCTGGAAAACTTTCTCTGACAAGTTTTACACTGGAAGGGTTTCACACCTAAATAGATAAAAGAAGTCTATTCCTGTATTTCAATGCCTTCTGGGAGGGATGAGGAATATTAGTTATTTCTGAGTTTCCAAATTCTGGATAGTTTGCTATTGTTTAATAGATACTTAATCTGTTTTCAACTATTCACCTACATATCCCAAAGGGCATTAATCAGACTCCGCAACTATGTAACCTTTTATAACCCTTTCTACTTTTCTCACTTTTTCTGATAGTGCTTTGAATCCCATACTGTCCTAATTCCTGGCATTGCTGGGTTCTAAACTCAAAAAGTTTCAAGTGAAGGACACCCTGTGATGGTAGTTGCTGTTTTAACAGTTCAGTTTCTTGGACACTGAGGGAACAGTTAGTCCCACACAGGAAAAGCATCTTCCTCAAGAGAGAAAGCTGTTTGCCAGTAATTCTGTCAGGGCACAGTGGCTGAAGGGGGGTGGGCAGTGAAGAGGAGCAGACCCAGCACCCAGCCAATGGCATGCGAGTACTCTTGAATGGTGGCTGATGGGCGAATGGCTGAGGGAGAGCATGGAATCTTGCCACCCCAAAAGAGGAGTAGGCTAGAAATTTTATGCAAAAAAACTGATTTTCTGAAATGCTACAATTATCATGTATGATTCATAAAAACATGGTCACTCTAAGTATGACATCTTTAATAACTTCAGCATTTAAAAATATGCAAATGTGTGGCATTGTCCTCCCAACTAATAATGTGTTTTCATTTCTGAACTGTTTTCCTCTTTTTTATTACCTAAGCAATACTGTTTGGTTGTTCATTTCTAAAATATTAGACATATTGTCAATAGTAAGGAGCATTGTTTATAGAATATAAGGATTTGGAGCCCAATTTCAGACTTTGGCTGGCATATTAGTGTTACTTACCAAAAGCCCAAATATCATTGCTTCCCCCTTCCTCAAAGAAGGGTAATTGTTTGACCTGTGCTGATAGTATTGTTCTGATTATTACTGAATGTAAAAATAATCACCTCATATGTTCAGCACTCTTTCGTAGTTTAACTTTGAATATAGTCAAACACTAGACTGGATCCAAGCCCATGGCATATATCCACACATTGTTGGATATTGCTCCCTCTTTCTGCTGTGGCAATAATTTGCAACAGGATTGTCTTATCCACACAGGAAAATTCAGTTGCAAATTATTGCTATAGTGCAACAAGAACACAATATTCAATGATGTATTAATGCAGTACATGATTCTTAAGTACTTCAGAAAATAAGTACGATTCCATCCTCCACATTCCAAGAAATTAAGATTTCAGACTGCTACAGATTCCAAAAGGCAATACATGCAACAAACCTGTGTGTCGTCTTTGGTGTCGTTTGAGTTGATCTGAACGAGAGAACCTTCTTTCACAATCCTTAAAGTCACACTGGTATGGTTTCTCACCTTAGAGAGAATGTTTCATTTGAAAGGGTTAAATAAATGTGAAAGTTATTAAAGAAGACTCTGTTCAATATCATACTAAAATGCTGAAACAATTATTCTATGTATTACCAATGTATGTTTAATGCTAGGGGGAGAGGCACAACTTGGAAAAGTCAATGTAATTATGAGTTAGGAAGACCTGATTTTTACATTTTTCCAGTGCCAAGGAAATCTGCAGACAATCCCATATGATCATTTTATCAACAGTACTCAGATAGTGTAGCGGTCATGTGTAGTAGCTACTCAGTTTATGTGTTCATGGCAGAATAAACCTCATTCTACAGTTGATACATCATAGTGCATGTGATCTTCCTTACATGGAACACACAGAAAATATATTTGCTTTCAACAATGGGTTGAAACAATTATATTTGACCCAGTTGTTGGGGTAGTAAATATGAAGCATTTGAAAACTTGAGTTTATGCAGGACAGTTTTGACAAGCTAGGCTATTGTGTAGATAGATTCAGTTGGGTTGCCGTGTTGGTCTGAAGTGACAGAATAAAGTTTGAGTCCAGTGGCACCCTTAAGACCAACAAAGTTCAATTCTGGGTATCTGAAGAAGTATGCATATACACATGCTAAGTCTCTCAGTTCTCACTTATACACAGAATTGAACTTTGTTGGTCTTAAGGGTGCCACTGGATTCAAACATAGTTCTCACATCTGTTCGTTAACTCTTGCATTTGTCTGCTAATTTTCTGTCATTTACAAGGTCGTACTAACTACTTTAGTCCAGTCTCAGCTATACTTATTGCCCAGTTACTTATGCATCTTGACATTCACTGTCCCTTCATGGCAACTAACTCCTCCTCTCTACCTATATGTAAGGCTTGAGAAAATTGTTTCAATATATCTGAAGAAGAGTGCATGCACCCAAAAGCTTATGCCCAGAATTAAACTTTGTTGGTCTTAAAGGTGCCACTGGACTCAGACTTTATTCCACTATTGTGTAGATAATATATAGAGGAATATCATTATTTTTGTTAATAATCACATTCATATACCTTACTTGTAGTGCTCTGAATGCATTCTAAAATGTTTGCATTTGTAATATATCTGGATATTTTCCTCCTCTGAGGCTAACCTTTGAAACCTAAAATGTATTGCGCCTTATGAAATCCACTGAAACAGTTATTTACATGAGACTGAAGGTCAACTTACACTCATCTTTTGTAGTGGCCACCTGTATTTTTTACACAAAACCCTGGGTTTGCTGTGCCTCTTTATCTTTGTTCTAGTTAGATAACTTCTTCCTTTTCCCACTAACTGAGACATCTGGGACAGAAATGTCATATCAAAGTTCCAAGTAAGGTGTAATATTCTCCAGTATTTCAAAAGACCTTCATTAAAAATTAGTCATTTAAAGTACTCAGAAAATGAATGTTAGTAAAATGTTTATAGTCTAAGGACCAATTCAGATTGTCCTCAAAAGAACAGTAATATGCATGAAAATATGGAACTGACTAATGTGCAGTCAGAGCAAAGATTTACCAAACCCAGGACTATGTACACTGATTAGCACTGGCTTTACCAAGATTCAGGTAAAAGTTTTTCCCAACCATCATTTTTAACAGGAGATGTGAGGGCTTGAACCTTGCATCTTGTGTATACAAAACATGCTCTTGCCACTGAACTATGGGTTCTCCATAGACACATGAATTTCTGTATTTCCCCAGTTCTGATAAATGTCAGAACTAGTTCTGACTTTGTTGTGATTCTTTAGGATCCTTTTAGATATATTCTGGCACATTGTTATATTTAACATGTCATAAACCAATAGCTTTGAGATCTTGTCTTTCCCAGTGGCAAGTGATAGGACCAATACAAACAGTTTTTCCAGGTATACAACAGAGGCAGTGAGACCAACTATGAATGTTGAGTCGCGAAGAGTCGGACTCGACTGTGCGACTGAACAACAACAACATTGAGTATCTCCTGAGGGGTGTTAGTCTGTAGCAGCAAAATAAAACAAGACCAGTGGCACTTTAGGACTAACAGAATTTATTCCAGCATATTCTGCATACATTTGATGAAGTGAGATCTGACTCACAGAAGCTGATGCTGGGCTGAGGTCAGATGACAGGCTTAGCAAGGTTTGGCTGTGCTTCTAATTTTATCCATATTTCTTTGTGCTGAAGAGTTTTGTCCAAACATCTACACTTAACCTGCTGCACCACGTGCTCACCCCATGGTTGACCATTCCAATTATTGCTGCACGTTATCCATGGAGCAGGTGGGCAGGCAGCAACTTTATTTAATTTGTTTTTCACACATGCGCATAAGCACATATTTGAAGCACCATTCCTTTTTGACAGCTCAGCAATCCCTCTGCCAAGTACTGTGATCTCAGGGGTTCCCATACAACTGTAGTTCTCCTCCAGAAATTAAATGAGGATTCCAAAGTGACAGCAGAAGGGCATGCCTTCAAACTCCTGGCAAGATGGTGGCAGCTCATGGCCAATGGGATTGCTGGAGGAGGCTGCTGGGATATGCAGTGCAGCATGGGGGAAGCATTTCAAAGCTGGGGGGAGAGAATAAAAGAGAGAAGTCTGGCATTTTTATTTAAAAGCTTGGTCCAAGAGTCATGGGCATGAAAAAGACGATCCTTCTATGACTGCCTCCTTCCCCATCTCTGAAAAACTCGTATTTCCAATTAACCCCTTCCTCACCCTGTGTGCTACAAAGCTGTAGGCAGAGAAACCAGCATGAAAAACACAAAGGAGGATTCTCAGCCTGCCATCCCCCCCCCCATTCTAGCCTCAGAGGAAAGCTGAAAGTGTCCCTTGGGTAGGGCCGGTGCCAGGTTTTTTTGCACACTAGGTGAGGCTACCTTCTGGTGCCTCCCCTCCCCCCCCCATGCACCCACCAATTTTCAAACATAAATGCATTTTAGGAAGAGAATGAAAAACACAAAATTAGAAATTGCTAATTTCAAAAAGCAGCACAGCACAGAAGTTAGGGCTGACCAACCAAGCACAAGGAATTACTTTAGTCAAGATGGGTACCCAAGTTAGTCTGTCTCAACAGAAGAAAAGAGCAAGAGTCCAGTAGCACCTTAAAGACTAACAAAATTTTGTGGCAGGGAAGGTGCTTTCTCCAGTTGCTGCTCACAGCAAGCAGTGACTCAGGAAAGTTCCCACCCTGCCACAAATTTTGCTGCCACTGTGGCTGTTAGGTTTTTATTTTTAAAACGCATTTTAAAGTAGGCTGAACATGGCAGTCATGGAGAGAGATTCAGAACATAAATACAAACACTTAATGGTATTGCATGGTTCCTCCAGGTACTGCTCAGTGTTCCCTCTAAGCTGAGTTAGTGTGAGCCAGCTCACAGTTTTTTAGCCTCCGGCTCACACATTTTTGTCTTAGCTCAGGGAGGATGGCTCCAGAACAAACTAATTCATGCAGTAGCTGAATCACTCACTCACAACTTTAATGCCAGTAGCTCACAAAGTAGAAATCTTGCTCACAAGACTCCACAGCTTAGAGGGAACATTGGTACTGCTCTATAACTGGGTTTTTACAGTCTCCTGGACTTTTTGTCATCCACTATTATAGGCCAATAAGTTGCAGTTTTAATAAAGAATTGACATCCTGACTCACAGTGCAGTTCTGAACAGGACCTTCTAAACCTGTACTCCAATCCGTGAATTTACAAAAGCGTAAGTCCAAAAAGGCCACACCCAACAGCAGAAACTCATTAGGATTGGCTACATTAGGGGGTGTGGCCTAACATGCAAAGGAGTTCCTGCTACAAAAAAAGCCCTGGGTTTTGACAACAAACAAGGTAAACAGAATAAGAAGGGAAAGGTGGGTGTGGCTGGATGACCACACTTCTGGTAACATGGGGGTGCGGCCTAATGTGCTAATGAGCTGTGCTGTCAGGGGTGTGGCCTAATATTCTAATGTGTTTTGCTGTTGGGTGTGGCCTGTTATGCTAATGAGTTCCTGCTGGGCTTTTTCTACAAAAAGAGCCCTGGCTAGGCCGCCTTTCCCTGCAGGCAGGGCTCAGGGCCCACTGAAGTCCTTCCTCTCCCCAAACACTACTCTCTTCAGGCTCCACTTCCAAAATCTCCAGGAATTTCCCAACACGGAGCTGGCAACCCTATTCAAGGTATATATGCCGAAGGAACATTAACCCAGAGCCCAGTGTTCTATTTACAGAGGCAGAGCTGTCCTAGGCATAAATTCCATGCTTATCCCTTTTGCACAAAAAAATACAAGGGATCTTGTGGCACTTTAAAAATTAAACAGATTTAGAGCAGCCCTCACTTCCATGGGAAAGAGGTGCTCTTCGTGAGATTTATGCATTTAAAACATGTATTAGCCACCTTTCTACCCTGCGGGAACTCAAGACGGCTTACAATTAAAGACACAGTAAAATGCAACACCACTAGTTAAGATCACAGTTTAAAACTGCCAATAGGCAGAACTAAAACTAACTGAATGCTATCCTGAATAAAACTGATGCATAAAAGGAAATAAATAGTGAGGCCAGAAAGTCATGAAGTGTGAGGTGGAAAGTCTGTGAAATGTTTATGCAAAGCTTAAACATGCCCAAGATAAGTACAGTGGCAATTCACATCTCATGGGCAGTATTTTTCCCCTCCTTTGTAAATTTCTCTTTAACAAAAGCATCCAATTGGCAGTGAACAGAGCACACAACCACCATCGGAGCCAGGATTCAACCCACCCACCCCATTTTGTGTTCTGCAGCTCAGACCCTGGGATGAGACGGAGGTGCTTCAGCAGGTTCAGACCCCAGCAACATATGTTTAAAGTTGGGGATTTCTGTCCCTGTGGGCATACCTGTAACACTTACCTGCATTGAACTTCCTTGGCCATATTGTCGCCCACTCACCAAATTAAGAGAGACCCTCTTGGAACTCTTCACAACCAGCTTTGTTTGTTTGGCTTTTTTTTTACCATCCTGAATAATTTGGCATCATCTGCAAATTCAGC